CCTCTGGTTAAGCAGATTGGCATCCTGCAATTGAGTTCGGTGGGGGCTTCTGAAATCGATGAACACGGAGCCCAATCACGCAAGATGCTTAGCTGGTGGCATTGGAATCAGCACCATCTGTGTCGACCTCTTCCTCGAGCTCGATTGGGCTCGTAGCCGACGCGGCTGCCAATCTGGCTGTTTGGCTCCGTGAGTGCTGCGCTGCCTCGTCGAACTTGGTCTTGCGATCATCTGTGCCTGTGTCGTGCCGGCTGCCTCTGCCTCCGCGCGTGCCCTTGTCGGCCGATTTGCGCAACGTTGGCTTGGCTGCCGCTCCTGGGCCACGATGGCTGCGGCCCCCTGCTGCTCTGGCCAACAGCGATCCTGGTGGAAACTGGTGGTCAGCTGGTACTCCGTCACCTGGTGGCGGTACCTCTAGGGCTGCGTCTCCCGCTAGTGCTGTTTGTGCTGGTGCTGCCTCTTGTGCTGCCGTGCCTGCGCCTGCTGGTGCTGCATCACCGGGGATACTCGCTGCCGGCGCTGCTGGTGGTTCTCCGACTGCCTGCCTCTGTTTGATATCCACTTGTGACAGGCCCGCTTGGATGACTGCCATCTGTTGGTGCAACATGTTCATTTGCATCTTAGTTGCCTGGATTGCGGCAATGTGTGCTGGTCCGCCTCCACTTCCGCTGTCATTGCTAGGCCTGGCTGGCATACCTCCTGCTGCTGATACTATATGCGCTCGGACTGGGCTGCAAGCTGATCCTCCTCGACGCTCATGTCGTCGTCTGAGTCGTCTATCTTTTCTGCCATGGCTTTGGCTGTGCTGCAAGCTTCCCGAAATGGACAACAATAGCTCCAAATCTTCCAGAGCCTGCGTGTGCTGCAACTGACATTGTTCAAGATACTTTGTTGCTTCTGATTCGGTCTTCCTGGCATTTTTTTACATGACCTGTTTGTTTTACCTGACCTGGTGGGAACCTCTCTCTCTTCTGGCACCCGTGCATACACCACTTGATATAGTGCCATCGCGAAGTGCTGCTACAATTCCTGGGTACGTGTTTTGTTGTGTCCGATGTGGTATGCCACCTGGACCTGTCTCTCGATGGCGTCCAGCTGCCCTTTCAACTTACTTCCGTGTGCTGAACAATCCGTTGCGTTGGATGGTATTGGAACCCAGAACCTGCGCTTCTCTGAAATTTATGGTAACGCTGGGCCGATCGTCATACTGAGCGCATGCTGCTCGTCTTCTATATGTTTGAGTCCACTTGCTCGCTGATACTGAATATCCGACTGGGAGCTGGAACTGTACCAATCTGCCGATTCTCGCCTCCACATGCGCAATACCGTGGCCACCTCCCTGGTGCATTTTTTATACTTGCCGATTTGCGCATGGTAGTGGTGCTGGGTTTGTGGACTGACTTGCCCCCGCATCCGCGCCCTTGAAAATCCTCGCGGGGCCCTGCGGTTTCGCGGGTGAAGGGTCAGAAGGACTTCTTTGAGAGGCCTCACCACATGGAGGTCTCCGGGCGGTACCGTGCATCGTTTTTGTTTTTCTTAGAGAACAAAATCTATGCACCGTGCCGCGTTTGGTTTTCATCGGCGGCCTTAGAATTGGCCGTCGAGTCCTCTCGTCGGCCCTTCTGGTCCGAATGGGAGGCGTGCGCTTCTTCATTGGACTCGCAAGTGGGCTCGTCGACGCAATTGACAGTCGGCGATGCCAGGGGGCCCCTTGCAATCTCGAGGCTCGGTACGGTGATCAGATATCGTCTATTGATCTGACTTGCGCCTACGCGGACGGGATGCTGGACGATTGACGCAATTGTGCCTTCATGGTTTGTTGCTCTACTTTGTCTGATATCTGCGTGTTCTCTGTCGGCGCTGATGGGCGGAAACCGCGTGTCTTGGATGATGCAAGATTCGACATGCTGCACGATGGAAATTCACTATACCTGGCACCGCCTGGCTTGAAACCACTCGCTGTCTTCTGCCTGTGTCTCGGCATGCTTGGCTCCGAACTGTGGTGTTGCGCATGCCTCTGGGATGCTGCTGCCACTATCAAAATGAACTTGGCGTTCGCACATCTTTCTCTCTGTCTCTCTCTCTCTCTCTCTTTCTCTCTCTCTCCCCCTCTCTCTCTCGCAGCTTATTTACGCTCTGTCGTGGTCGCCCGCTGCCCAACTCGTGGGCCAGAAAACGAAATTCAACTGGTACCAGGTGACGCACTCTAGGCCTGAGACCAGACAGGCGCGCAACGGTTGCTTGCACCCAATTGATTGGGTCAAAAAAGGCCCGAACACGAGGAGGAAGGAGGAGGGAGGCTGGGCGAGGGAGGCGGGGAGAGGGAAGGAGGGGGCGGAGGGTGGATGGGGCGGGGAGGGAGGAGATGAAGATCCGTGGGGAGGAGGGGTAATGGGGGGGGCAACGCAGGGGGGGGGCAGCAGGGAGACGGGAGGGGGGGACTCTTGGGCTTCTGGGCCTGCCTCGCTCGCCCCCGCGCGGGCGCACGAGGTCCAGGCAGGAAACACAAAGGCAGCCGCAGACGGCGGCCGCGAAGAGGAACGAAGGAACGACGACGGCGAGGACGGCAACGGCCCGACGACTGTTTTGGTTGAGCTGGCGGCACGACCACACGTGGACGCGGTTGATGTCCCTACATCAAAAGGAAGCGGTAATTCGTAGGTGGTGTTTGCGTGTGTACAATGGGGGAGCCAACGAACAAGTTTGCATCAGGATGTGGCTGAGTGGAGATGAGCAGTACCTATTTTCAGATCGTGTCGTGTGAGTTTGCTGTTCAGGTGTGAACGGGGCGAATTTTGAATGGTTCGCTTCAGAGAGGTTAATATCTGGGGGCCGCAGTGAGTAATTAGCCAGTCGTGGCCTAGGGCCACCATCTGGGGACTCGGGCAGCTGGGGTGGAACACAGTCAGCATTTCGAGAGGGCGTTGTAGTTGCAGGACAGGTGAATTAAAAAATACGTACCGGGACTCGCAGGTCTATTCCCGAAGCAGTGCTTGCACCAGGGTTTGGTTTCCGTTGGCTTCCTTGTCGTTCTGCGTGATGGGGTTTGTGTTTTGCTGCGGGTGCTCGCCTGATGGGCGCCCCGGGGCGCCTCGTGGCCCCTTCGCGCGCTGGCTGGGTTTCCTGGCCTCGCCTGGTGGGCGCGCCTCCGGGGCGCCCCGTGCGTTGGCCGGGTGTTCCGGGCGCCCGTGGGCGCCGCCTGTTGGGCGAGGAGGAGGAGGAAGAGGAGGAGAAGGAGGAGGAGGAGGAGGAGGAGGAGGAAGGGGAGGACGAGGAGGAGGAGGAGGAGGAGTAGGAGGAGGGGGAGGAGGAGGAGGAGGAGGAGGAGGAGGAGGAGGAGGAGGAGGAGGAGGAGGAGGAGGAGGCGTGGCGTCGCCTGTTGGGCCCCCGTGGGCGCCTCTTTGAGCGCCCACGGGCGCTGGCTGGTCTTCTGGGCCCTCGCTCGGAGGGCGCCCCACGGGCGCCTCGTCGCCGCCCTGTGCGCGGGTCGTCGGGGCAGCATGGACTGCACAGTGCCAGCGGCACCGCACAGACTGCAACACCCGTACCCATCGGTCGTTGAAAGTAGGTGTTTTGGGACTCCCAGGTTCCAATCTACTTTCAGCGCCTTCCTACATCAGTGGTCGAGTGGCTTGGCCCTTGCCGTCCTGCCCTAGGGGCGGACGGAACCCGATCACCTTTCAACGCCGTCCTACTTCGTGTTTCTACCTATTTTTTCCGACCGATGGGTGTTACCTTTCCTCAGAGGAATGTCAGTCCAGACGCTAAAATAAGAACCGTTCTGGGCTCAGGAGGGGCTCGGGTTTCCGAGTCGTTCCTTAGATGCATATCGTGGAACCTGTTTGTGGCCCAGGCCTGCCGTGGCCAGAAAAGCCCCATCGTTCCTTATTGCATGTTCCTTCTGGTAGCACGATGCCTGCAGACTCGGTCGCCCCCACCGCGGCCGGGGTTCGCGATTCTTCTCGGAGCATTTTGACAGTTCATGTTGCGCAGTCGTTCGTTTTAGATTCCACATAGTATCATCCCCAGCCAGCCAGCATCGACACGCAATCGTCATCCACCGCACAAGTTCCAGTGCGGTGCGCATGCGCTGATGTAAGAAGCGCGTTTCTGTTGCAGTCCCATTCGCATAATAGCATGCTGGCCACATGCGCGCTCCGTCGCTCGCATGTGAAGCTTGCCATGAGAGAAGGAAATTGCATTCGACCGTCTCAAGACACAGACACTCAACAGCTATCAATCACCATATGTTTTCAAACGTCACGTTGCCCGATCTCTGCCCGCGCACCCGCTGAATCCTCACGGGAAAACCATCGGGCCTGGAATGTTGGTATATGATTGTATTTGAAGGCGTGCGGGCCAGACGCGCTCGCATGCCGAACAGATTCAGCAATCAGCGTGCGCCCGCGGTCTTTGTCAGTATTACCATGCGGGTCACACGCGCATGTCTCCGCGCGCGCGCCTTTCGAAGTCACAACAAAGCCAACAGCTTCCCAAGCCTTTCAGCACATGGGTGTCCAATTGTCCACGGGACCCAGCATTTTTAGCAAGTCAGGTATTCGGAATGCTCGCGCGCGCACCATCATCCTTATCAGGACAATCATCCTCATCAGCGTCATCGTTGCTATCGTCATCATCACCATCATCATCACCACCGTCGTTGTCGAAATAACCGCCGTCGTCGTCACCTTTGGTTCCGTCGCCTTCGTCATTTGCATGAGCAGGGTCCGCACGTCATTGGGCCAGTCGAGATTGGGAGCAAGTTACGATGAGTGACTTTACTTGCACCCTCTTGAGTTTTGCCAGCAAGATGCGGCTGGATGAGTTGGATTTGGGTTCGTGCATGGGAGGTTGCCATGAGCGGATGCACAATACGCAGGTTGCACGACATAGGTTGCACATCGAGAGTACAAGAGCCTATGGTTTGGGATTCACACTTGCTACCATGTTATGCGATGATGCCTTACCCATCTGCGAAGTGCCTAAGCGGACCCCCCGAGGTGGCATGCGTGGCGGCCCAATGGGTGGTGCCATGGGCGGCTCTATGGGCGGCGGTGCCATGGGCATGGGCGGCCCGATGGGCGGAGGCGCTATGGGCGGGCCGTGCGGAGGCATGGGCGGTGGCATGGGTGGAATGCCAGGCGGAGCACCAGGTGGGATGCCAGGAGGCATGGGCGGTATGCCAGGCGGCATGCCTGGAGGCATGGGCGGCGGCATGCCAGGAGGCATGGGCATGCAGGGCGGGATGGGCGGCGGCATGCAAGGCGGCATGCCAGGAGGCATGCCAGGCGGAATGGGCGGTATGCAGGGCGGCATGGGAGGTATGGCAGGCGGCATGGGTGGCATGCAGGGTGGAATGCAGGGCATGGGAGGAATGCAGGGCGGCATGCCAGGCGGAATGCAGGGCGGCATGCAGAGCGGCATGCAGGGCGGCATGCAGGGCGGAATGCAGGGCGGAATGCAGGGCGGAATGCAGGGCGGCATGCCTGGCGGCATGCCCGGCGGCATGATGGGCGGCTGCATGCAGCCGGGCATGCAAGGTGGCATGCAGCCGGGCATGCAGCCAGGCAACATGATGCAGGGCGGCATGATGCCCGGCGGATGGCCGTCTTGAGACGGCAATGCCCGTTTTTGCATCGTGCGAGATCCCGTTGTCCGCACTGATGCAGGCGGCGGGGAAGCAGCAGCCGCCAAGATTCCCCTGGAGGGGTGATGTCGCTCCGTGCGGGCGTCTTGTGGAGCCTGTACTCCGAGATGTTGCAGAGCCGCTGAGAGCTCAAGCCTCGAGCCCGGGAAGCGGCCAGGGACTCCGGCCCCCCGCCGAAGCGACGCAGATGTGTCGTTATCGTTCGCCCAGGGGCCCTCGTTGATGAGCTCCCTATTGGCGGCGCACAGGCTTTGGCAGGCTCAGCGTGGCGGCCTGAAAGAAGTAAGGAGGCTCACCGCCTCGTCTCGGGTGTTTCTGGGGCCCATATGGCTTGCAAGCCAGCCGCACCATGAGGATGAGCACCTTCCCAAGGGCACCCTTGCATCATGGCCTCTCGGCCCATTCCAGCCCTTGGCCATATGCCATGGGATTCCGACTTCGGTTTCGACTTTGGCGTCCGAGGGCATTGTATAATCCCTGAGAATCCTTTGATCCAGTCTCGCTGTAGTCAGGTGGCCGCAGAAGGCCCGTCGGAGAGGCATCCTGCCTCCTTGGAAGGCCGCCCCTCTCCCCTTGTTGTTTTTGTTTGCGCGCCGCCCAGTTCAGTCCAACGCCCCATCCCCTCGGCCCGCAGACCAAGATCGGCAGTTCGAGGATGGAGCCCCGGGGGAAGAAGAGGAAGAAGAGGAGGAGGAGGAGGAGAAGGAGGAGGAGGAGGAGAAGGAGGAGGAGGCATAGGAGAAGGAGGAGGAGGAGGAACAGGAGGAGGAGGAGGAGAAGGAGGAGGAGGAGGAGGAGGCCCCAGGAAAGGGCCTCACGTCTGGGGGTCTCGACGGGTGCCTCCTCCTTTCCGGGCGTCCAAGCCTTCTCCCCCGATCCCCGATGCCCAGCCCCGAGCCCTTTTGAGGCCCTCTTGAGGCCCTCTAGGGGGGGGGGCTTCTGGGGCTGTCTTGGGGCTACCTGGGAGGCCCCTGGGGCCATCATGGGCCGCCGGGAGAAGACCGAGGACGCGCGCACGCCAAGATCGTTCTCGAGGCCTTCTAGGACCGTCTTGAGGCTCTCTCGGGAGGGTGTTGCGGGGCCGTCTTCGAGCTACCTTGGAGGTCTGGGGCCATCATGGGCAGCCGGAAGAAGACCGAGGACGCGCGCACGCCGCGATCGTTCCGAACGACCGGAGGAAAGTCAACGATTTGGGCCGTTTCGGGTCCCTGCCCTTGCCCCTCTGCTGCTTCCGCCTCCGCTGCTGACTTGGTTGCGGGCGTTGACCACGCGCCGACGGTCACAGGGGCGCTGTCTGAGGCAATTTGGGGAAACTCGCCGTAACGCAGACAGAGATGATGGAAACAAAACACTTTACAGCCCCCCTCCAAAAGTGGACAGCCAAAGTGCGCCAACACCTGGCGAGCGGTGTCGTCTCCTCAGCCGTACCCGCCCCCCCCCCGCCCCCATTCAGCCACGCGCACGTTGGGGATGGAGAGGGGGGAAGGCTTCTTAGAAGCACCCCTGCTCCTCAGAAGGCGCGAGCCTTACCTATCTACAGACGTAAGGCCTGCGCCTTCTAAGAAGCAGCCTCCTTCTCAGAAGCCTTCCCCCCCTCCCTCTCGCCCCTTGTGCGCGCCGCCAACCCACGGTGCTCGAGCCTGCACCTGTCCCGGGGGCCAGGCTGTGGCGGGGGGCCGCGGTGCTGGGCCGCTTCCCACCGGGCGGCCGCGCACCCTGCCTGCGGGTCCTTCGCCCACGGCCACGGCTTCGGCGTCGGGGGGGCATTGCAGCTCCAGGGCTCCAGGGCGGAGATGAGGGTAAGAGGCAGGAGGACAAGAAGGAAGCGCAGGATAAGGAGGAGGGGGAGGTGCGGGCGAGGGGGGGAAGGGAGGAAGGAAGAGGGTCAGCAAGAGGAGAGGGAGGTGCGGGCGGGGGGCGGAGGGAAGTGGGAGGAGGAGGAGGAGGAGGAGGAGGAGGAGGAGGAGGAGGCGGACGGGGGAGGAGGAGGAGGCGGACGGGGAGGAGGAGGAGGAGGAGGGAGGAGGAGGAGGAGGAGGAGGGAGGAGGAGGAGGAGGAGGAGGAGGAGGAGGAGGAGGAGGAGGAGGAGGGAGGAGGAGGGAAGGTGTGGGGCGCATGGGGCGAGGGTGGGAGAGGGGAGTAGGTGGGCGGACGGGGGAGGTGAACGGCAGGACGCTAGAGAGGCGGAGGGTGCAGCTCCAGGGAGGCGCAGGCTCGATGGGCAGTTCCTAGACCTCGCGGCGCGAAAGACTCACGACGGGAGGTTTTTCGCTATTGTCGGCCTCCAGGGGCCCTCATTGATGGGCTTGGTTTCCACCACTACCACCATAAGTTGGAGGGGGGAAGGATGAGGAGGAGAAGGAGGAGGAGGAGGAGGAGGAGGAAGAGGAGGGGGACTCCCTCCCCCTCCAACGTATGGTTGTGGTGGTGGAAAACAGGCCCATCACTCATCGGGCCTCGGGACCGTCAAAACCGACTCGGGATGAAAACAACCTGTTCTGGGGAAGAGGTCCAGGCCTCTGGGGGTCGACGCTGTGGGTCTGGGGGTCGACGCCGTGAACAAAAGTCACGACGTCGACTTCGGGGGTCTGGGCTCACAGGATTGTCAACGCGTTCTGGAGCCCTGGATGGCATGCCTCCAACCCCCATTCGCGTCCGTCACGTCTTGGGAGCTTTGACGGCCATGCTTTGGTGGCCATGACTGAAACGACGGTTGGCCCGCCATTGCCGAGCAGTCTTCCTCGGCCGTGGCCACCGAGGCGTGGCAGGCACACCTCCCTCGCGGTCGACGCCGCCTCTATGCACTGCCCAATTTCGCTTAGCAGCACGCACGTGCTGATAGACAATGTACGCTCTGGTGCGCTGCCGCCGAGCGTGTGGAAAAGGGCGCTGCTGGCAGTGACGTTTCCTTGCCTGCACCTCGCTGGGCCTCCCAGAGGGGGTCCGGGTTGGTGGCGTCGGAGGGTCGCGCCGCATCGTCGACGCGTCGGCGATGCGGGTCGAAGTGGAGTCCGATTTTCTCCACGCCGATGGCGCCGATGCATCGCCGACGTCGCCGACGCATCGCCGATGCATCGGCGATGCGCGTTGATCCTCCGACCCCACCGACTCGGACCCCATTTGGGAGGTCCCTGACCAAACAGCGAGTCTTGACCGTGCAATGCCCGAGCGAACAGCGAGGGACTGTTCCGTGGCCGCCCGAGTCGCTCCTCCGAAGGTCGTGTGCCGGGCTGGCGCCTCGGGGTCTGACCTCCCCGAGGCACGCCGGGGCCGGCCTCAGCAGCGGCCTCCGCGTGACGGTCTAGGATGGTGTGTGTGCTTGGGCCGTGGTGTGTTTGTCCTGTCTTCTTGTCTGCGCTCCCTGGAGGTGCTCCTGGGAGCTCCTCTCTGGCGTCTCTCTAGAGCCAGGAGGCGTCAAAGTAGAGGGCGGCATCCATTGTATGCGGCATCCTTGCTTGATGTGCTGCAGTCGGTCGAAGTGTCTTGGATTTGAGCATGGCGATACTTGAGGCTCTCATCTCGCAGGTTAGCTCCGTGCGATGCTTCGCTTGGAGTGGGTTAGAGGATGGGTGAAGCATCGTGAACGATGTTTGTACGCCCCAGGCTCGCCTTTATCATCTTTTGCACCATCAGCCGCGGGCCTATGGGTATCGTCAGTGACGCCCTTCGCGTCCAACGGCGTACGAATCAATTTCGATGGGGCGGAAGAAGTTATGATCCGCGCCGCCGCAAGGAATTCCCCGAGGTGGGCCCATACGTGGAGGACATATACATTATATAACTACGACTAACCATTAGACATCGCATCCCTCAGCTGCGGATAAGAGTGGCCTGGCGGCGGGATCGTCGGCAGTCTGCGAAGCTCCGAAGAAGGCCGCCGCAGATTCCGATGTTTCCACCGATTGCACAGCGGGCCCGCCGCAGGCGCCGATTCTGTTGTCGAAGCAACGGGGGTGGGTCGCGGGGTGGGCCGCGTTTGGCTCGCGAGCGGGTCGCGGGCGAGGAAGACGACAATTTACGCAACGCAGCAGCAACAATCAACACCGCGGCATCCCCCTTCAGCCACGCACCCAGGGACAGCGAACGACTGTTCGGCCCTCTAACCCTGATGTATATATGTGTATATATAACTATATATAGATGTGTATATATATACATATATGTGTGTGCACGAACACGTAGTTCGCTTGTTGGAATCTTGCTCTTGGGGTGTGCGGCCGTTGGAAGCGAGTCACATGCAGACGCGACCCCCATTCCGAATTCCTCCCCAATGCAAGTGGTGGGGCTTGACTGGTATCCGAAGGTGGCTCCTGCATTCGTACAACGTTTTCTGTCAGCTATGAGTTCTCCAGCTCCGCCATTCCGATTTCTACATGACAATTCAGCGTGTCGCATCAGCTTTGAACACTTCCGCACACTCTGCCCCTTGTCTTAATCACTGTGCGATCACAGGGCTTGGGGGAGCGGGGGCAAGCCGATTGATATCCAGGAGTATTCACAAGGATGGCAGGATCACATAAAGATGTCTCAAGTGATTGTCGCAGTATGGCGCTAGAGGAGGCGTTCGAATCGTTATGTTGATTATGTTCCGTGGTCCGTCTGAACGCATGCCAGCACAGGTTATATCGGGAGCCGATCTTGCGTTACGATGTTACTTGGGATTCAGAGGCACGAGTCAGAGATATTACATGTCTGACTCAGCGCATGCACTGGAGGGGTCCCGGCGGATGTTGCAAGGATTTCAGGGGGCGGTTGGTTTCCCGGGGTCCGAGTTCCAAGTTTTGGGCTCTAGTATTGTGAGCAGTTGGGCGACAGTGTGCTGGAGTTCGGTCGGCGGCCTGCAAGAAACAGAGAGAGAGAGAGAGAGACAGTATATTCACATACAGAGAGACAGGGAGAGTACAGAGCAGATGGAACAGATCGTGAATCGCATGTCGTATACAGGGAGCCCCGCACAGAGTGGAGACAGCAGAGACCATAGAGTACAACGCAGATAGCGGAGAGGCGAGTGTAGAGAGCAGAGTACAATTGCAGAGGTGAGCGTGGAGAGGACAGGGCGGAGAGCAGATATCAAATGTAATGGGGAATGCGCGGGGGACGTAGTTGAATGTAGAGAGTAGAAAGCAGAAGGTAGAGAACCGTCGGGCATTGATAGAACGCCCGCCCAGACAAGTCGATTGAGGACTTCTGCGTACATTGGCCTTGGCCATTGCGCCGGTGCAGTCCCAGTCCGTTTCGCTGATCGACGCGTGTCACGCCAGAGACATCCGTTCGTTTGTGGACGTCGGCATGCTATTCCGCCCAGGTGCAGATGTGTCCGTCTTCGAAACACAGTGGGTCACGTTCGTTGTCGGTTGCTCCCGCCACCTTCAGTTGCGCTGCCTTCGGCGTGGACAACTGGTTCGGCCTTCTGGTGTAATGTGTTTCAGCAGGCGCGTCAAATCACTGCGGCGCATCCAGGGGAGGCTGGCAGAGACGGTCTTCTCATAAGGCCCAGAAGGCCTCCAGCATTATGCGAAGCTTTCCAAGCCCTTTTTTCAGCATGCTCAGACGGCTTTCCAGAAGGCCGGAGGGCTTCTGAGCCTTCTGAGAAGGCCTGCCCCCTCTCGCTTCCCTCTCGGCGCGCCGCCGAAAATCAGTAATCTACCTGCCAGCTAGCGAGATAGCGCCCCACGGAGATCTCTTATCCACTCGGTGGCTTTCTGGGAAGCCGCAGACTCCCTAGAATCGACGATCGACGACAAATGCGTCGTAGACTCCTCACTCCAATCTGTTTCACCGTATATCACAGTGAGGGGGCCGAACGGTCATTCACTGTCCCTGGGTGCGTGGCTGAAGAGGGGTTCCGCGGTTCGGATTGTTACGTCGTTGTTGTTGTTGTTGTTGCTGTTGTTGTTGTTGTTGTTGCTGTTGTTGTTGTTGTTGTTGTTGTTGTTGTTGTTGTTGTTGTTGTTGTTGTTATATGTGCTGTTGGTGCTGTGGTTGTTGTTGTTGTTGCTGCTGCTGCTGTGGCTGTGGTTGTTGCTGGTTGATAGTGTGTTTGGTGGTGCTTGTTTTGTTGGTGTTGATGTTGCTGATTTTGTTGTTGCTGCTGCTGTTGGTGTTGGTGCTGCTGTTGTCGGTTGTGCTGTTGTGGTGGTAATGGGTTGAGTGATGTTTGCTGCTTGTTGTTTGTTGTTGGTTTGTAGTTTGTCGTCGTCGTCCCACCCGCGAGCCCGGCCGCGACCAACCCACGACCCACCCGCGACCCACCCGCGACTCACCCGCGACCCACGCGCGACCCACCCGCGACCCACGCGCGACCCACCCCGCGACCCACCCGCGACCCACCCCGCGACCAACCCGCGACCTAGCCGCGACCAACCCACGACCCACCCGCGACCCACCCGCGACTCACCCGCGAGCCACCCACTGGGCCCGACGAAAACTAGGAAACCGCGGCGGACTCGGTTGTAGAAGTTGTTTCAGAAGTGACGCTTGCGGCGGCCTTCTTCAGAGCCTCGCAGGCTGCCGACGATGGTGGGCCTGTTTTCCACCACCACCACCAGAAGTTGGAGGGGGAGGGCCCTCTTCGTCCTCCTCCTCCTCGTCCTCCACCTCCTTACCCCCCCACAGCTTATGGTGGTGGTGGTGGGAAACAGTCCCATCGGACGACCCCTCCGCCCCCTCACTCTCATCCGCCACTGCGGGGTGCTACACATCGACTGTGCCTGGCGTCCGAGCTGCGGCCCTGGGCGGTCGGCCTCGGGGGGGCGTCCGAGACCGTGTTGGGACTTCTTGGGGGGGCCCAGAGAGGCGTGTTGGCCGAGAGGAAGCGTTTTCGGAGCTTCCTCCAAGCTGTGTGCTCAGGATACAGGCCTCGGAACACATTAGCGAACACTCATGCCACATTCGTCTTTCAACGGCTACCCCCCCCCCCTAATGTTCAAAGTTGGCGGCGGGTCTGATGAGATGCTTTTCGACCGCAGTCTCCCCCGCGCGTGCCAACATTGAGGTTGGGGGGGAGGGGGAGTGTTCAGCAATTGTTTCCCTCTACCGTATCTCATGCTCACCCTCGGCATGGCAGGCGCCTTGAGCAGGCCAGTTGGCAGGACATGGTGGCCAGGTGGGAGCTGGTCGAGGAGTCGCAAGGGTGACCCAGTTGGGGGAAGTGAGGTTTACACGGTGTTCGGTCGAGGTGGCGCCAAGGTTGTGAGGTTGGGATCCATCGGCGGTTGACGAAGTGACACATCCCCAGTCTTCTCGTTCCTCGGGGGAGCAGTTGGAAGGCCGTGCATGTCAAGGTCACAGTCGGCGGCTTGCAATTGTTTTGCTGTGCGTTTAGGAGATCGTTGCCCAGTTTGCGCTGCTCGGTAGGGTTTTGCCATGCTTAGGGGGCGGTCCATGTCTCAGGGCTTCCTGGTCTTTGAACGCTTTCGAAGTGAGCCTTCGAAGTGAGCCTTTGAGGTAGGGAGCCGCAGTCATTTGGGCTGAAGTCGTTTTGTCTCGAGGTCGAGCTTGTGGAAACCACTGACTTGCTTTTCCCTGTCCGAGTTCCACCTCTTACAAGCAGCAATGGGGGTCTGTGGCTCGTCAGCCGAATTGGATGAACAGATGCGCAAGCAATGGGCTGGGCAAAGCAATTGGTCTGCGGTGCCAGTGCAGCGCCGCCGCTTGAGTGTCTCTGCCGTAGAGGGTGACTACGCCGACATGGATGCCAACGAGTTGGAGGAGGACCGAGGCTTGATCAAGCTGCTAGACGCGAAGACCGTTGTAGACCTCCTGGAGTCAGGCTGCACTGGTGGTCGCAAGATGAGTATCAGTTCGACCACAGACCGGAACAAGACTCCCTTCTCTTCGAAAGCTATGAAAGAGATTGGGGGAAAGTTTGACCCAGCAGTGGCAAGCATTGGGTACTCCTGCCGCAAGGGGCTCAAACCTGAGAGGCTAAACCAGGACTCGTGGTTCGTGCTTCGCGTTGAGGGTGAGAGGCCTTGCTCCATCTACGCAGTCTTCGACGGGCATGGCCAGAATGGACACGAAGTTTCCAATTTCGTCAAAGAGAACTTGCCAAAGTTGATTGTGAAGGACCCCCGCTTCATGACCGACCAGACGGACGAGATGCTAGTGGATTGCTTCAAGAAGATGCAGCGCCTCATTGCGTCGTCAGACCGCATGAAAAACAGTGCACGTTTGTCGGGCACAACTTGCACACTCGCCATCCACGACATCCAGAAGGACAAGATAACTGTGGCGCACGTGGCCGACAGCCGCGCCGTGCTCAGCAAGAGGTGTGGGCAGAAGTGCGGAGGTGTTCAGCTCACGCGCGATCATAAACCCGTTTTGCCAGACGAGCGCAAGCGCATCGAGTCCGGTGGTGGTCGAGTCGTTTTCGATGGTTATGAGAACCACCGCGTCTACGCCAAGGACTCCCGGTTCCCTGGACTGAACATGTCGCGTTGCCTTGGCGACCTCATGGGTCACAGCGAGTGCGGTCTATCGTGCGAACCAGAGGTAATGGTGCGGGAGCTCTCTGCGGAGGACGTGGCTTTGCTCATCTGCAGTGACGGCGTGTGGGAGTTCATCAGCCCAGACGAGGCCGTTGGCATCGTGTCCACTTATAGGCCCGACCAGGCCATGATGGCCGCTGAGACGCTCGCGAAGGAGGCGTGGGACCGCTGGATCCAAGAGGAGGGCGGCTCTGTGGTGGACGACATTACCGTGCTCTTCGTCCACCTGAAGCAGAAGTAGCAGCAGAAGTTTCATGGTCTAGCCCGGATGCGCTTACGTCTACGCCTGTGGTAGCGCCGATGCTTCGGGTAGTAATGCGCCCGCGCATAGGTAGCGCCCTTGCTACACGCTACGAGTTCAAGCAACTCGCTGCGAGGAGCCCGTACAGTCGGGTGAGGGTTATGTTCAACCGCGTTGCAACATGTCGGGGTTGGGCTCTAGCGAGGCTGGGCTGTAGGAGGCCATGCGTGGCTGTAGCGAGCCTCGTGGGATATCTGCTTGTGTGCATCACCGCTGCTCTTTGTAAACTTGCTGAAATATGCCCGGGAGCAGAGATGCTAATTTTGAGAGTCACGCATTCAAACGTTCTCAAGTTTTTCTCGGTGCCACATCGCATCTTCGCCGGGTGGCCGCCATCAGGCCACGTGGCAGACAGCCCGCGGTCAGTGTCTCGATGACCCTAGTGGGCTTGTTTTTATAATTTCGTCTCTGAAGGTGGTTTGAACGCATTCTGTGCGATACTGTATGACTCTTGCCACATTAATGCATGAGTGCATTCTGCGCCCCAATCGTAACAAGACAGTCCGTGCATCCCCCCCCGTGTATTTAAATCACGGGCTTTCAGTGCCGACGCTGGTGTTTAAGGATGCCCCAAAAAAACAGATACGGAGGTCGACATGTGTGTTGGGGAGGTCGAAGTCCCGTTTCGGCAATATCTTTTGAGAGGAAAACGCAGTTCTGGTATTGCTCAGGATCCCAAGAGGCCTTGAACGAGGCGTCCAGGGCTTCAATCGTAGGGGACGTGAGCTTCCACGCTTTGGTTGAGTTTGAGGAGGAGGATGGATGCCCGCGGACGCGCCGCGCACGTAGGACGTAGGATGTAGGGGGAAGCCTGGGAGGACGAGGAGGAGGATGAGGAGGAAGAGGAGGAGGAGGAGGAGGAGGAGGAGGAGGAGGAGGAGGAGAAGAAGAAGGAGGTGTGTCGCTCTACACTGATCGGGAATGACGCGAAGGGGGGAGAGGCAACAGGATGAAGGAGATGAGACGGGCGACGAGGAGGACGAGGAGGAGGAGGAGAAGGAACATCATATCAGATGGCATCTATAACAGAAGAGAAGACATACAATACCCAGGGGATCTCTTCGGATAATACTTGCAATAAGGACAAGGATGGCGAGGGGGACAAGGGTGAGGGCGAGGACGAGAACAAGCAGCATGCAGGGCCGCGCGCGAGAAAAGGCGACCCCTCCTGGGAGGCCCCAGGGATTTCAGCGCGAGAGCGTCGTATCTCCCATCGTCCTCCATCCTCCGCCTCTCCCTTACACCGACCCGCTTCTTCTCTTCTCTTCTCTTCTCTTCTCTTCTCTTCTCTTCTCTTCTCTTCTCTTCTCTTCTCTTCTCTTCTCTTCTCCTCCTCCCCCTCCTCTTCCTCCTCCTCTTTCTCTTCATCCTCTTTCTCTTCGTCTCCCTCCTCCTCTGCCGCCTCCTCCTCCTCCTCCTCCTCCTCCTCCTCCTCCTCCTCTGTCCGCCGACCCCCTGGCACGGCGATGCGGCGATGTAATGGTCATGCCCTAATCCAAAGCGCCAGGACTATCTTGAGCCGTTGAGGAACCCGGGGCCACCCTCGTCTCCCCCATTCCACCTCTCGTTAACTTGAGCGCGACCGTCGGCATTGTCTTTTCTTTGTGCTCTTCTACGCGGACCGCCTTCGGCCGCTCGTCCTCGGCCGTCCCGAAGGGCGCTCTCGACTTGGCGCCAGTCGCGCCCCTGCCCCCTCCACTGCTGTTCCGTGTGAGCGCTGCACTCCGCCTCCAGATGCGTCGCCCGCGAGCGCTTCTGGTTCCCCGGCAGGGCGGCGCCATCCCTGCCAGGGCTCACCGACAGGGCTGTTGTTCAGTATGAGCACTGCACTGCACTCCGCCCCCCTGCACTGCACTGCTTCAGTGCGGGATGCAGATGCGCTCGTCGTCGTCGTTGTCGTCGTCGTCGTCGTCGTCGTTGCGTCGTCGTCGTCGTCGTCGTCGTCGTCGTCGTCGTCGTCGTCGTCGTCGTCGTCGTCGTCGTCGTCTCCTCTCGCAGTCCTCCATAAGAAGCCAATACATCCCCAGGACGAAAGCTTTGTCCTCGTGGGCCCGGAATGGTGGTTTTTAAATATTGAGCAGACGCGAGTGAGATAACCGCTGTCGGATCCAATGAAATCCGCGCGGGTCCGATTTCGTATTCGATGAATCCGCGTCCGGTCCTACGTTTTACGGCGGATCCGATTTCTACCCCGCTTTCTAGATTCCCATGAAGGAACTAAAACGGGGAAATGGGAGAAAGCGGATCCGAGGACCCGGGAAACCGCCCGCGTTACAATTCTGAGGGGGAGGGGGTTCGGTCATCAACCTTCCGCGCGCGCGGGCTCCATTCAACATGAATGCCTCTCTTTCCTCCCGGCGTCCGGGCGCAGCTCGTCTAGACGCCGTCCGTTCGGAGGCGCCGCTTTTACCTTGTGAATTCCTCATCGCCATTTTCACCTCAAGAGGAAATCCGTTCGTTCGTCCTGAGTAAGTATGATTGCGTTTCCCCCCCCCCCCTGTCCTGAAGATCGCCAGGGAATAGCCCGCCGCCTCTGCGTATTGTTGATTTTTCGCCCCCTGGACGTTTCAACATGAGAGCGCCTTCGATGTCTCAAAATGGTGCTGCCGCTGCAGCGTCTGCCTCTGTCTAGGATCGACACTCTGCTCCCGTCGTTCCGACTGGCGCTCTCGCCCCAGCGCGGCCCACGATTCTGGATCCCAGTGCTTCCTCACCGTTGTCGCCCCGCTCCTTTCCCCTCTGCCTGCCCCTGGTCCTTCTGCTCCTCCGCTCCTCCCACTCCAGTTGCTGCTTCATGCTCGTCCTCCTCATCCTCCTCCTCATCCTTCATCATCCTCCTTTCCCTCCTGCTCATCCTTCTGCTCATCCGCCACCTCATCATCCGCCCCCTCCTCCTCTGTATACAGGTCCCTATCTGCGATTGCGCAAATCACGATGGGGTACGGTTGGCGTCCTAGGTCCGCTATGACACGCGTCCGCAGATTGAGAACACATCAGCGCAATTGGAAGGGGTGGGTGGAAGTGTAGGATATCAAATATCGCGCGAGCGCACCTGGCCTGACCCCCCTCCTCCCCTCCTTCATCGCTCTCCCTTCCTCCTCTCCCATTCCTCTCGCCAGTGTTTCCCTCGTCCTTCTTCTCTTCCCCCTCCTTCTCCTGCCCCTCTTTGTCTCTTCCACCTTCACCTCCCTTGGACCTGCCTCTTCTGACGCAGACCACAGGCCACCATCATAGACACCTACACCTTATGAATGAGAATCTCCCCTCTCCCCTGAGTCCGAGCAGCAGGTCGCGGATTCTCTCCGCATACCTGCTAACGCTGAGCTGTGCAAGCGTGGCCCTCCCTGTGTTTTTGTACATTCCGATTGCTCTCGGCGTTTCAACATGGTCGTGCCGCTGCAGCGCTGGCCTCTTCTTCGGATCTGCACCCTGTTCCCGTCGTTCAGAATGGCACGCTCGCCCCAGCGCGGCCCACTTGTCTGCACCCAAGTCTACTTCCTCATCGCTGTCGCCCCACTCGTTTCCCTCCGCCTTCCCCTGGTCCTCCTGCTTCTCCCGCTCCTTGCACTCCAGTTCCTGCCGCGGCGGTTCGTCCTCGCCGTCGTCGTCCCTACACATCCTCCCTCTTTTCCTCTTGCTCATCTCCTGGTAACCCGCCACCTCCTGTTCCTGTATGCGCAGCTCCCCCTTTCCGATTGCGAATGGCACGACGGGGTCTGCTTGTTGGAGTTCCAGGTCGGCTACCCATGACACGCACATCAGCGCAGCGCACTGGGCGGGAATGGGTGGGAGGGGTAGGATGTCAGATGTGGCGCGAGCGCACCTGGCTCGACTCCCCCCCTCTCTCTCCTCCCCTCCCCTCCTCCTCCCCCTCCCGTCCTCTCCTTCTTCCTCTCCTCTCCTTCTTCCTCTCCTTCATCCTCTCCTCCACCTCCTCGTCCCGCTCCTCTCTCTCCCAGGGAGGGGTGCGGACCTTGCTGCGCTCGTTGGCACTTCGTTGAGGTCGTGAGGGCGACCCTGCGACGCCCCCCCTGCGGGGTCACACGGCGGTCGGGATCCTTGCCCGTGGGTTCCTCGCCCGACGAGCCCGCGCCCCTTGGCCCCGCCAAGGCCATTGGCCCGCCACCAGCCTTGCGCCTGCCCTTGAGCTGGGCATTCCTTCCGATGGGCATCTTCATCCTCTTCATCGTCATCGTCATCTTCGTCGTCCTCCTCCGCCACGCCTCCCCCCCCTCCTCCTCCTCCTCCTCCTCCTCCTCCTCCTCCTCCTCCTCCTCCTCCTCCTCCTCCTCCTCCTCCTCCTCCTCCTCCTCCCTTCCATACCTCATCATCACTATCATCGTCGTTCTCATCACCACCATCACCACCGTCGTGAGCAGCCGTATCATCATCAGCAGCATTACCATCATCAGCGTCACCATCATCACTATTCTGATCGTCACCATCATCATCATCATCATCATCATCATCATCATCATCATCATCGTCATCATCATCATCATCATCATCATCAACATCAGCATCAGCATCATCATCGTTGTCATCATCGTCTTGCTTAACATTTTCTCATTCTCGTTGCTATCCGTATTTTTCGTCTCAGTTTCAATGCATGAGTTCTGTATTAGGTCATTGTCACTGGTAGTTTAACCACTATGACTCTAGTTTTAGTAGTATAAGTAGTACTAACACCATTATGCATGATTTGGGACTCTGCTTGTTATTGTTGTTCTGTTTTACATTCGCAATACTCATCATACCAGTATCGTGATTCTAAGTATGACAACTCTTACCATTATCCATTATGGTTCGTCCTATTTTCATCGTCAGTATCATCATCATCGTCGTCGTGTTCGCCGTCGTCAGCGACATCGTCGTCGCTTAGTCGTCGCCACCGTCATCGTCGTCCTCCCCGTCCTCGTCCTCCTCATCATTCGCGTCCTTCTCACTGTTCTTCTCTTCCATATCCTCCGAATCTTCCCCCCGATTCCTCACACTTCACCGCCACCACCGTCATCGCACGCTTCTTAATCATCATCCTCATCATCATCCTGATCAGTATCATCATTATCATCATCATTACCATCATCATTGCCATGTTTTCATAATCACCATCATCGCACGTATCACCGTCATCATCATCATCAGCAGCAGCAGCAGCAACATCATTATCATCATCAGCAGCATTAGCATCAGCATCAGCATCAGCATCAGCATCATCATCATCATCATCATCATCATCATCATCATCATCATCATCATCATCATCATCATCATCATCATCGGTGGCCGCTTCGACTTAGACCTCTTTGGGGCGGGAATAGAGCCTCGCGAAGGTCTCGGCCGCGTGCGCCCCCAAGCCTGCCAACTGTGTGCAGGCGCCCTGGTGCATGGTGAAGTGGTGCCGCTGGGGCGGCGTTTTCGGCTGCGTGCTCGGATACGTCTGCTACAGCTTCATCATGGTGGGGCCGCGGTGTCGCCCAGCGTTTGCGACCTCGGCTGGCCGCCGCCGCGCGCGGGCGCGCCGCACCGCTGTACGCAAGGCCCAGGCGGCTTTGCGGACAGTTACGGCGATGTTGATGCGCGTGGGGCAGGCCTCACATAGGCCAGCGGGGGTCAGAGCCGCGCGCCTGGACGCTGGCGCCCTGCCATTCTCGCCCAGCGTCCTCGCCGGCGGCGCTGCCAGTGCGGTGCTCCTGGACCCCTTGGGCATGGCTGGCGCTCCAGGCTGCCGGCTGCTCGGCGCTGTGAGAGTCGCCTGTGAGCCTCCAGGGCCGCAGCTGGCGCCTGGCTGCTTGAGCCCTGCCGATGACTCCGACCACGACAGCGGGGGCGGCAACAAGTGCGGTAGCTTCGGCGGCGAGCCTCGCCTCGTCGACGGCGATGCGCATATGGGGCACTCGCTGCCGGCCACCGTCGTCAAGGTGCCGTCGCCCTTCGGTCCCGACATCGGCTTCGCCAGCCGCAGCGATGGCGTGGTCAACGCCGACTCCGTGGAGGCGGTCATCGGATTTCTTCGCCGTCGTCGCGCTGTTTGTGCGCAGGGGGTCCCTGCTGCTGCCTACGACGTCGCCGAGACCGTGCCGCCAGGTGAGGCACTGGGACCTTTTCGTCGCGACGCAGCTCCTGCTCACCCAGGGGGACATCCTCTACCGCGGGCTCCTCCTGGGCCTCGTGGGCGTCTTTCCACGCCGTGGAGTTTTGGCCAGTGCTGGAGGTCGAAGTTTACCGGTAAGGTCGTCGTACAGGTCATCGTGGAGTTCGGGGCGAACGTCGTGTCGGCGGCGACCTGGTTGCGTTCAAGGACGGGGGACGCGTTGCGTGTTATGGGGTACTTGGGACCTCCTGTCCCGCGATCGCTCCTTGGGCCTCGTGGGCACGTTTTTTTTCCAGGCGGCGAAGCTTCGACCAGTGCGGAGGCGTGATCACAGTGAAACTCGAGCGAACTATCTCGAATCGACCAGGTTAGAGATCACACACGCGATTACCATGAATCTCGGGGTGGTTAGTGTGGGCGTCATGGCTCCTGGCGACCGCCGAGACATGGAGGCCACCGTCACGCCGCACGCGGACATCAGCGACGGTGTCATCGTGGACCTACTTGATAGTGGGGATGCCGCTTACGATGCAGATGGCGGTCGTCGGGTCCCGATTGCTTTTGTTCGGCCTCGTGTAGCTCTTTCAGCCGCTTCGGCAGCTCCGTGGAGGCGATGTGCACGCTCCAGCGGCTCACCCTGGTCGCGAGGATGGGTCAGGTCATTCCCTCGACCGCAACGCCGACCTCGCCGTTTACGACACGGCTCCTTCCAAGCTCTTCGCTTCTGGGTGCAGCGCGGACAAGGCCCCACATTTCGACCCCCTCGGCTTGGCGGCGGCGCGGGGGTCGGCCGCGAGCGAGCTCATCGGGCTCATCTCGTACATCGAAGTGGACAGGACGGCGCATGCGGCCAGCGCCCTGGAGCAGGCGCATCGAATGGCTGAAAGTGAGGCCGTGTCTAGGCCAGGTGAGTTGGCAGGGGAGTGATGGCGGCGCTGCCTGGTTCGATCTGGCGGTCGGGCTGCTCCTCAGTCTCATGCTCGCCGTGTGAGCTTTTCGTGCGCAGGGTGGACGTCGTCCCTTGCTCGTTGCAGCATGCTGCATGGACGCTCCTTCAGCGTGCGCTGTGACCCCCTGGTGGCCTCTTTCTTAACTTTGCGGGTCTGGATCGCATCGGCGTGGGCTGCGGGCTTTGGAGACAGTTGCGATGCCCTGTGGGCTTGCCGGACTTGCTTGCCTTCTCGTTGTTCAGTCCGTTTCGGCCGTTGCAGTTGGTCGGCGCGCTGGCAATCTGCGGGCCTGGCCGACAAAGTTCCTGATCATCGCCAGTATCAGCGCCATCATCGGCATCCGCGGCATTGTCGTCATCAGCTGCAGCAGCAACCTCATCACCATCAGCATCAGCATCATAGCGCTGCTGCCATGCTCGAGCTGTTGTCTCAGCGCGGCGGACGCAACATTTCTTTCAGACCGTGGGACATCAGCGCTGCTTGCCCCCCCCGCGCGCATTTTGCGACGCGGGCTCAAGGTGCATCCGCAGGAATATGTGGCCCTCGACACTGACAAGAGCTCCGAATGGAAGGAGGCTACGATGTGTCCTGTACAACCCGCAGGCCTTACCGATCAGACGAGCGCTAGTGGGCGTTCTTCATTACTTCGGGCAGGCACACTTGGTGTCGCTTACTGGCACATGCCAGACGCAGAGGCAGCTCCCCCGCGACAGCTCACTCACCTTCACTGGCAGTCGGGCGGGCAGATGGACAGTTTGGCAATGGCAGGCAGCGACTCGCAGAGGACCGACGAAGCGGGCTGTGAAGCAGGCACCTCGAGCTCAGCGGGGTGCATGCTGGCGGTGGCGCGCAAGTTTTTCCCCGAACGCAGGAGGATCCATTGTTGGAGGCCACCGAATGGACTACGAGGCCGAGGAGGAGCAGTTCGATACAAATGGCGAACACATTCTGGGATTTGCGTTGTCACGTTGGACAGTACGTTGGAAGCACCTGACGAGAGCAGTCGGCGATGGCGAGAGAAGTGATTGCAATGGGTGGAATATCTCTTCGCACAGTTACCATCGAGGTGTACCCCCATCCTCTCAATGGACGGGGGCTTCCATTGTGGATGTAGCAAAGTCGGGCATGAGTTGTACGGCATGCGAGACGGTGATGCAGTTGGAACGTACAACCCCAGCGCAGAACCACAGACAACAACAATCTGGAGACGCATGTATACTCAACACGCACCACATGGCACTGGCGAGCACCCATCAAGCTGAAGGCGCAGGCAACACGTTCTCCTCCGGCAATGGTAGCAGTCAGACCCGAGTGGGTTGCATTGGACAAACCAAAATGATGTTGGATCATATTCTCAAAGTGGAAGTATGGCATCGCACAACTTCAAGCTCCAGCTCCTAAAGACGACCCGCCCACTCAGAGTACATGTAGACCACTGTCCTGTTGCGATGGATTTGCAGTTTCCGCACTGGTTCGAAGATGACGATGCCGAGAGACCGAGATGGGACATGGATAAGCTTACGCAGAGCTGGCGTCAACGCAGTCGGCCCTCACAAGAAGCTTCCAACGGACAGTCGATTGACGAACAGTTCTGTGGGGCACTCGACGACTGGGCCTCCCAGGAGACGGTGATTGACGCGCTCAGACATTTCGTCGCGCGCGGGCTAGTCGATGAATGTTGGCATCTCCTTACGCAGCAGTTGCACGAGCAGGCCCTCAGATTATTTGCACGTGAACCTCAGGATTTTCGTCCATGGCCTCAAGCAGCAGACGCGCAAGCAGCGCGTGCACGTTAAAAAGGAGATTCGCAGTTTTCTATGGTAACACCGTGCTGCTGAAGCCTACGATCGTACCGCTCTTGAGCAGGAGTGCCAGGGATTTGTTCGGCAACTCCGTGGACTTCGACGCCGTGGTTTTCGGCGAGCTCGGGATGTCTGGGTTCAGGAACTCCACGAAGCTGAGAGACACCGCAACTAGTACCTTGTCTTGCAAGCCGGGAGCAAAATTGCATGCACCAGCCCGGGCCCCCCAAGAACGCAAGTTCCTGCTACGCAGTACCGCCACCTACCTGCGCGGAATGGGTTCAACGCATGGGGCCAGCGAGTGCAGAACGCATGGCATATTTGTCACGTGAACGTGTTTGGGCTTCTCACCAGAGTATCTTTTCCCCCAGAGACGGGGGAGACGCGTGCGAGCTGGCCTCCCAGGCCGCCGGCTTGGGCGCCGACGCCAGCGGTCTCGCGCCTGACGCGGAGCTCGCGCTCTCGCAGGGTACCGCTGCGATTGAGGATATGCAGGCCACTCTTCCTCCTCTCCAAAGCCAAGGCCAGGAAGCAAGTTCCTCATTGGGCTCTCCTTCGAGAAGTGCGGCCCCTCGCTCTCGCGCAGAAGGGCCACGAGCTTGTCTTGATCAGACCGGGAGCTTTTTCGCACAGAGCGCAGCAGCTTTTCTCATTGTATCCGCGGAGCCCCGGAGACCCCCACCTCTGGCACATCAGTGAGGCAGTCAGGGTCCCCAAGGGCAACGGGAAGCTTAAGTGCCAGGCGGAGCGCGTGATCCACCCCCTCGACACCATAGGTAAGACCTTCCACTACCATCTCTGGCGCAAGCATCGATTACCGAGCTCTCATAATTCCCTTGTTTTCAAACACGGACGACGACGATAACAATCGATCATGACGATGCGTCCGATGCAAGAGCGACTCGGCAAACGGGGGGGAGAGCTGGGTGGAGGTCTTTTACGATATGGCCAGCGCATTCGCTTCGACATCCCATCGAGCCCTGGATACGACGATCAACGACGCGCTGAATCACGACGACGCGACACTCACGGAACAGAGACGCCGACGAGCGGTGACGTACCTCGAAGCCGAAGGTGGGGGCTGAGCACTACTCGATCTTGGATGCGGGGACCTCCAGGGAGACCGTTCAGCGCCCGATAGGTTTACCTGTTTGTACGACCCGCGGATTCAGGAGTGGATCACCGCTACAGCTTCCGATAAGGAGGCAGCTCTTTTTCGCGCCAGAGAACCCGCGACGGCTGAGCAGGTCGATCTCCCTTTCGCAACGTTCGCAGATGACAGCGCCCGCATCGGAGTGCTCGGCCGCGACCGCCCTGATCTTGAAGCGGCGCGCAAGATTCAGCTCTGGGACGATGGTCTCACGAGATACGCGCAGAACAGTACCGAGCTTGCCCAGGGCGTAGGTAAGAAAGAGATCCTTCTTCGGCGTCGCGGGGCTGGAGCCCCAAAAGCAATGGGGGATTTGTTCAACAAAGCCGGCGGAGTCCAATATCGGGGAACAGCCAAGCTATGGGTTCAGCGTCTGGGAGGATGGTATAATAGTGACGGGTGGACTTATTCTGGGATTGAGCAGCGTATTTTGGCAGCGCGGATCGGTTGGAATTCCATGGGACGTATATGGGCTAGCCAGACAAGCCGAAACAAAAAAAAACTCCCCTATACTAGTATTGCTCGGGGGGCACTACTATCGGAGGGGGGAAGCACGTGGCTGGGCTCAAAAGAAACTTGGGCACCGTCGAAAAGTTTGAGCAGGCCCACCTATGAGTGATCCTGCAGGGCGCGAGTCACAAGTTCACGCGCCAGGGAGTGGAGGAGACTCGTGCGCTACCCAACGCGGACGCGCGGCATGAGCTCCAGATCCCGACCTTCGAGATCACGCTTTTGCACCGCAGACTGCAGTGGCTGTGGTCCATCGCGAAACGCCCCGAAGAAAATGTTGCTCTCCCGGCTGCCCCCACGAGCCCGCTTGGAGATGAGGCCAGAGGACAGCTCACTGAACACGGCAAACCACGTCGGGGGTGCAACAGTTTCTTGGGGCGTTTCTGCTACGACTTAGAGGATCTAGGACACACTGTTCCTGAAGTTAAAAGGCACTTCGGAGGCAGGGATGGCGCGCTTTGTTCGACGATGCCACGATGTTCAAACCGACCCAGACTGCCTCCCAGGAGCACCGCTGGAACTTGAGGCCTGAGGCTGTGTATCCTATCAATGTGACCATGTATACGACGACGGTTCAGCATGTCCATGCACGGCGCCATCATATGTAGCACTCATATGCCGTCAACGTCGAGCACAGAAATACCGCCAACCGCATCGTCAAGCTATTGTATGCAATACGTGTCCATGGCGTGATCGGGTCTTTGCCTCGCTGGAAGCTGTGCGCAACCATGTAGCTTCGAGGGCGAAACAAGCTGTCTGTCCTAAGGGTCGTGGGGGTGGGGCTCTTGCTGGGCTTGCGCGTCTACAAAACCCACCAAAAACATCAGTTTTTTTGTTTTGAGAATTTGTGGCTGATGACCTGGGCGCTCTTCGCGCGCATTTCCGTGGCCATTTTGATGCCCGGGAAGATCGCGATTTCTGGCGCCCGCTCTAGAACCGTACTCTGTTCCCCCCGGCTGTCGAAGCGGCTCCCGAAGATGGAGTTGACGCAGGCGCAGCTGGCGGCGAGGGCTTCGGAGGGGCCCGAATCGAAGAAAGGGCGAGCAGGAGGGGCACGAGACCAGACGCAGGTGCACCAGCGGCCAGCGGCGCACGCGGCCAAGGCGGCGGCGGGGCTCGATTTGCAGGGGCAGAGGACTCAGGGCGCCCTGACGACGGCGGCGCTGGCGCCGCCCGATCACCCACAGTTGCTGGTCGCGCAGGAAGGAGGGCGAAAGTTCAACGAGGCGAAGGAAGCGGCGAAGGCGGCGGGAAACCAGAATGCGCTGCAGGATTTGAAGTGGGCGCACTTGCAGATCTGGATCGCCCTCTGCCCGGCCGCGACGGGCGACCCGAAGATTCCCGACGAAAAATGGCGAAGCTCAAGGCCCGCAGCTCGAACTTGAAGTCGGCGGCGCAGCTGGGGGCACGCGCGATGGTCTGCCGGCAGCAATGCTTTCAAGCAGAACGGGTGGAAGACAGACGTGTACCGAATCGAGCTGTTCACTGCTCCCGAGCTGCGCCCGATCTGCTTCGAGCTGATGGGGGCCATGCTGACCAAGTCGCGCACGATCAGCAAACCAGGGGCGCCCCCGCGGGGTCCCAACATCAGGAATGCCGCGCAGGATCTGATCGAACTTGGGGGATACAAAGTCCAGGGGGGGGCGCAGTCTGTAGCGGCCGCAGCAGCAGTAGTAGCCATCAGCGAGCGACAGAAGTTATAAAAACAAACCCTCGAGAGTTCTGCGGGGGCTCTGACATGCATCGGCGTCGAGGGCAGCTCAGGGATCAGCCTTGAGTGCCCTGGATGTGTATCACTCCTGGGGCCCCATCGGTCTAGCAGGAGTGCAGCATCTATGGGGTCGGTGCGAGAGCGATTTCTTCTCACTAAGTGTTATGGCGCTTTTGGGTCGCTCCGATGGTGCCCCGTGGCTCTCAGGAGGAAGTTTGTCTGGGGAGACGCGTGCAGTTTTGGCCACCCACTTCCCGAAGTCCAGGTGTGCACGATCAACGTCTGCTAAGCACGCTAAAGAGAGAGAGAGAGAGAGAGAGAGAGAGAGAGAGAGAGAGAGAGAAAAAGGAGAGAGAGAGAGAGAGATATCATCATCACCACCATCATCATCATCATCATCATCATCATCATCATCATCATCACCGTCATCATCATCGTAATCATAGTCATCATCATCCTCGTATGTTTCATCATCATGGCATCCTTGGCACCGTCACCATCACCATCATAACCGTCATCGTCGCTCGTCGTGTTCGTCGTCCTCATCCGCATCGTCGTCGTCACCGCCATCGTCATCGTCAATGTCTCCATCCTCGTCCTCCTCACCGTCCTAACCTTCACTTCTCATCTTCTTAATCTCCCGATTGATTCCCCACTTTTTCTTAACACACTACCACGACCATCGCCGCCATCACCAGCATCACCGTAATCTCCATCAACATCCCCACCCGTCGCCAGCGACGCTCACATTACCATCAACATGTTTGTCATCATCGTTGTCGGTGGCTCGTCATCATCACCGACACCGTCGTCGGCATAGTCATCGTCGTCGTCCTCATTTTCGCCCGCTTCCTCGTCTAGTCATCCCCCTCCTCTCGTCATCGTCCTCCTCCTCCTCCTCGTTTCCCCCCCTCACGTTTCCCCCCTTCTATCCTGTTTCCTCGTCCTTCTCCCCGACTCTCTTCCGCCCCTTTTGCTGCTGCTGCTCTTCCTCCTCCTCCTGCTGATGTTCCCCTTCTCCCGCTGCGAGCCCTTTGCCCGCCGCGCCGCCTCCCCACCCTACCCCCGCGCGCACTGCGCGCGCCCCCCCTGCGCGCGCGCGCCGAAGGCCGGCGCCGCCCCAGGGGCCGCGGCGGAGCCCGCGGCCGCCGCTCCGGGGGAGGCCTCCCCCGCCCTCGGCGTCGCGTCGTCGCCGCGCCGTGTTCTGCCGAGGAGGACCGAAGTCAAGAGGAAGGTCCGCCGTCCGCCGTAGCCATAGCCGCCGCTGCTGTCGCGAGTCGACGCCGTCATGATTGGCACCAGCCGTGGTCGTCGACGCCGTCCTCCTCCTCCTCCTCCTCCTCCTCCTCCTCCTCCTCCTCCTCCTCCTCCTCCTCCTCCTCCTCCGCATCGGGCCCTCCTCATCGGTCGCGGGAATCGTGTGGCACCCTGTCCACTGCGGGTCCCCTCTCCCCTGTCTTTCCCTGCTCATCTTCCGTCTCCTCCGACGTCTTCTGGTCTCCCTGCCCCCGCTCCCTGGTCTCCTGAGCCCAATGGCCTGCGGGTGTTGCCAATTCGCTCCGCGATGGCGTCGTCCTGCTTTTCCGCACCCCGACGACGTCTTGGCCAA